TTTCCTTCCACCAAACTAAGTTTAGCTAGAACTGAAGGTTTTCAGAAGTGTCATAAAAGCATGATTTGTTCCTTCAGTCACACCACAATCTGATGCACAGCACAATATTTCAATGCCATTGAACTGCACATCTACTATAATTAGTTGTCTTATTCATTAGCCCACTAGTTCATGCCTCACTCAAAAATGAAGACTGAGGTTTCAACATACTAATCACCATATTGAGATTCCTATGAATTCATTAATCAGAATTTGAAGCTTAGAATTTTCCTGTGTTCAATATAATGGCTTCTCTACCTCACTTTCCTTCCTACGCCTGCATCTTTACCCCTGGTGTGCCCTTTGGGTTTGTTCAAAGCTGCCTCCTATTGCGCACCTGCACACTGTCCCTTACATCAAAAAACATGGCTAGTTTTCAGATGAGTTCTGATAACATCCAGCTATACCTTACTGCCATCTTGCTCAACTCCTCCAGTGTTCTAAATTATCGGACTACTTATCTGATATCTTGGATTGAATAGCACAAGTTTCCTCCCAATTAAACACTGCAAAAACTAAAGTAGTTGTTTCTGGTCCCTGCTCCAAACTCCATTTCCCTAGCTACAAACTCCATTCTTCTCCTTAGAGACAGCTCATTCACGACACTGGTGTTCTATTTGACACAAAGGTAAGTTTCCAAACACCAATTCATGCCATCACTAAGATCATTTATTTTCACTTCTTTAATGTAACCTGACTTCACCCCTGTCTCAACTCTCATCTGCCGTGAAAAGTCTCATTCATTCCTTTGTTACTCCATTCTTGACTATTCAATGCAGTCCTGGCTGGTCTCCTATATTTTCCTCTCCATGAACGCTGCTGCCTGCATCTTAACTCAAACTTGATCCCAATTATCTTTCACCCCTGTGCTCACTGATCTATACTGTCAAGCAACACCCTGCTCTGAAAATTCTTGACCTTCTTCTGAAATCTCTCCAATGCCTCATTCCTATCACCAGGTAAATTACTGTAATCTTGTCTACCATCCCCTATGAGATATCTGTGCTCATCCAATTCTGGCGGAGTCTACCTGATTTTTTTTTTTTTTTTAAATTGAGTCATGCGATGTGGACATCACTGTCTATGATAGCATTTATTGCCTGTCCCTAGTTGCCTTTGAGAAGGTGGTGGTGAGCTGCCTTTCGAACCATTGCAGTTCACCTGCTGTGGGTTAACTCACAATGTCATCAGGGGGCAAATTCCAGGATTTTCACCCAGCGACAGTGAAGGAACAGCAATATTTGCAAGGTGAGTGGCTTAGAGGAGAACTTGAAACTGGTACTTCCCATATATCTGTTGCCCTTGTCCTTCTAGATGGAAGTGGTAATGGGTTTGGAAGGAGCTGTCTGAGCATCTTTGGTGAATTTCTGCAGTGCATCTTGTAGATAGTACACATTGCTGCTACTGAGCGTCAGTGGTAGAGGGAGTGGATGCAGTCCCAATCAAGCAGGCTGCTTTGTCCTGGATGGTGTCAAGCTTCTTCAGTGTTGTTGGGGTGCACTCATCCAGGCAAGTTGCGAGTATTCCATCACACTCCTGACTTATGCCTTGTAGATGGTAGACAGGCTTTGGGGAGTCAAGGGGTGAGTTACTCTCCTGAGTACTCCTAGCCTCTGACGTGCTCTTCTAGCCACTGCATTTATGTGGTGAGTCCAGTTGAGTTTCTGGTCAATTAGAACCCTCAGGATCTTGAGTGGGGGATTCAGTGATGGTAACACCATTGAATGTTAAGGGCAGTGGTTAGATTGTCTCTTATTGGTGATGGTCATAGTGTGGCATGTGTGTCGTGCAAATGTTACTTGCCACTTGTCAGCCCAAGCCTGGATATTGTCCAGATCTTGTTGCATTTGGACATGAACTGCTTCAGTATCCGAGTCACTGCAAATGGTGCTGGGCATTATTCAATCATCGGCGAACATCCCCACTTCAGACCTTATGTTGGAGGGAAGGCTATTGATGAAGCAGCTGAACATGGTTAGGCCCAATATGCTACCTTAAGGAACTTCTGCAGAGATGTCTTGGAACTGAGATGACTGACCTCTAACAATCACGATCATCTTCCTGTGTGTCATGTAAGACTTTAACCACTGAAGAGTTTGTCCCCAGATTCCCATCGATTCCAGTTTTGCCAGGGCTCCTTGACGCCACTCTGTTGAATGCAGCCTTGATATCAAGGGCTATCACTCTGACCTCACCTAGATGCTTTATTCCAGATTTTTATTGACTTCAAATTCCACCATCTACAATGGTAGGATTCAAATCTAGGTCCCAGGATTAATAACAATGATACCACTAGGCCATCTCCTTTAAATACTACATCTTCATGGTGATATCTTCAGCTATCTAGGACCTAAGTTCTGATATTTCCTCCCTATATCTCTACATCTTGACATCACAGAAAACACTTCTTAAAATCTACATCTTTGACCAAGCCTTTAGTCATCTGATCTAACGTACCCTTAAGTGATTGTGTCCTCATCACAAAACAAAATATGACACCAATGACATGAGTGATCATTGATAATTCCCCTAATGGCACAAGCCAATACTCTGATGGCATGGTTCAAATCCCAACATGGCAGCAAGAAGAATTTATGTTCAATTAATAAAATTGACTTTGATATCTAGTCTCAATAATGGTGACTGTGAAACTAACAGCAATTGCTATAAAGATCCATCTGGTTCAATGACCTTTAGAGAAGGATCATGTCATTCATACCTTGTCTGGCCTACATGTGAGGTCTGTAACAGTGTAATTGGCTGTTAACTGTCCTCTGAAATGTGCATGCAAGCCATTCAGTTCAAAGTCAACTCAAGATGGGCAGCATATGCTGGCTTTGCCATCAACACCCACATCCCATGAAAAATTAAAAGAACTGCTGCTACGGGACATTTAATTATGTTGTGACGGGCCACTATTCCTTCAACGAGTAGAAATTATAAACAATAGTGAGAAATTATCTGAGAAAGTCTAATTACTATTTAAATGATATGGAATCAAAGATACATGATCCTAACAGTACCAACTTGTACCCATTAAAATAAGTAATCAAAACATAGCTCTCCCTATAATTCAATAACTGAGGTCCGCAAATCATTAACGAAATTGTTCGCCTCCACGACTGGGACTGACATGTGGACAGTGTTTAAAGAAACTCAATAAACTTTTAAAATGTTAGACAAATAAAATGAAAAATATATACGTTTTACAAACAAAAACAGGATATATCAAAAGCATGCTCAAAAATTTCACACCACAGGCAAAATAGAGGATTGATGCATTTTGATATCAGCAGGCTAAAATCCAGGGCTGAAGTTCAAAGTTTGCAAAGTTTATGTTTTACCTGCTTAAACCAATAACATTCAGATGGGTGGGCAGCTCAAGATGCTCTTATTGAACCCTAAATACACAGAGACCAGCATATTATTTTTCTACATGCTTTTGACCATAAGAAATGTGTAGGGCATTTATTGAATTACCATTCTATGAAATTGTGGCTGATCCAGACAGCTGCTCTTAATAGCAATAGTCCTATTTTCCTAGATTTCTTTAGCTTACACAAATTTACTCTGATTTGAATGTAAGCAACAAGTGACCATCCAACATTGAGATATTCAAAGACTCTCAATCATGTGAATGAAGAAATTTCTCATCTCAATAATAAATAGCTGACCCCCTTATTATAACACTTGGGCCAGAATCTTCTGTGCTTCTCAAACCCACAGGTTCTGAAACAGTTTTCAGGTTCCAACCCCATCCACCGTGCCCACTGCTCACTCTGAAATCTTACAAGAGATGGCCAGTTAACAGGCCATCTCCACATTCACCAGCTAATCAAGTACAAACATAACAGAGGGCCAAAGAGAGCATTCTCCCAGCTTGTACCCTGTGTAGTCTACACACTGCAATTACATTCTCTTTCATTTTTTAAAACATTTAAATCAAGCTACTCAAATCAGAAAACAAATCTCCCAATCCCAGATGCTACATCCATTTGGGCGGGAGAGGGGAAAAATCTTCCCCCAGGTATGGAAACTAAATCTGTACACAGTATTCCACGTGTGGTGTCACCAATAGTTGTAGGAAAGTTTCTTGCATGTTCTGACAGCAGAAACAGTAACAAGGGTGACATTACGGCTCTTCTCCTATCACCAGACAAAATTGAGAGAATGAAGGCTTCAAAACATGCAAATTAGTTAACAGGTGGTTCAAAGTCATTTCCTTTTTTGGTTTGTCACCACCCCACCCTATTAAAAAGGGAGAAGCTGGGTCAGTTTCAAGTCGGTAAAAGTTTGTGCACATCTTTATAACAGTGAAAGATTACTGAAAAATTAAAGGATGAAGATATGTTCAGGAATACAGAAGCTACCATGTGTTCAAAGTACACTGTACGGAGGTACCCGCGCCCTTACTGCGTAAGAGCCCTCAACGAGTGAGTGAGTCAGTCCCCTGTGATCGCCAACTGCACACAGGAGGAACCTTCAATTCGCCACCAGATCTTGCCTCTGATCAAATCCCAATTTGGGCGTACTCTCTCCTTCAGTGTTCGAAGTTTAAAAATTGCAATTGAAAAATGTAAAACAAAATCTTTAGGGGCGAGGGAACACGTTTCAGATTCAACGAAGCAAAGATGCGAGACGCACAAAAAAAGTAATTTCGAGAGGAAACCGGAAATCTAAAAGACACGTCCCCTTGTGAAGCTGCACACACGAAAAAACTTAAGATATATAAAAGAAGAAACGTTTTCTATATTGCAGACACCCAGCCCGATTAGTTTACTGCTACAGAATTGGAATGACCCTTTCAGGGTAGGGGAGGTGGCTTCAAATGTCGTTTGCATCTTTGTATCTATTTCTGTGGCAAAAGTTGTTGCAGCTTGCCCGGGAGTCGCGTGTTGTGGATATAAAGTAGCGCGGGGCTGCAGAGTGCCATTCTCAAAACCTGGAACAAGGTTACTCACATCCATAGCGGGGTCTGTGCAAAGTCAGGTTCTCCTCATACATCCTCGCCTCACTGCGCTCACTCCGGATTGTGTATACACACGTCCCGCACTGACTCTCAGCCTCTCTTTCTCCTCCCCTACACTCAGCTTCCTTCACCGTCCCGTTATACCGTGGGGAGCAGCGCCTCTCCCCGGCCACTGTGTCTCTCGCAGCGGCCCCTGTTGGCTTATACAGCCCGTTACACCCCGCAGCAGCTGGACTGCACGTTTTTAGTGGCTGGGGTATCAGGCCCAAGGGAAACCGTGTTTAAGAAGCTCCCCCGTCAAGCAACTCGGGAATTCACTCCTATAGGATTTCCACTCTCACAGTATGGGATGACTTTCTTCACACAGTAAGTTCGGAAGTGGGAATATTCACGGATGATTGCACAGTGTTTTGTTACATTGTTAGTCAGGCTATGAAGCAGTCAGTGGTGTCTGCATGCCCCAAGATCGGGCACCATGCAGGCTTAGGCTGATCAGGGGCGAGTAATATATGTATCACAGAATTATCAGGCTATAGCCAACTCCATCGATACCTCCTCATTCATTGGAAATGCCATCATTAAATTTCCCCACCTTCAATATCCTGGGGCTGACCATTAAACAGTAAATTAACTGGACTAGTCATTATAAATGCTGCGGCAGCAATAGCAAGCTGAAGGCTGGGTAATGTGCAGTGAACAACTCAACATTTGACTCCTCAAAAACCTTCCACCAACTTCAAGCCTCAAGTTCAGAGTGTGATGGAATATTCTCTGGCCCATGCTTGCCTGGATGAGCACAGCTTCAAGAACACTAGTGATGCTTGACACTCCTTCCACCACCAACTCCTTAATGTACAACTTAAGGAAGCCATTGACATTTCCACCATGTTGTTATATCATGGTGATCCAGACATACTGCCGTTATCTGAACCTATATTCATTGAACTTATAAAATTGGGCAGTTGTGTTTAGTTTTATCACAAGTACTGTTGTATTGGCCCTCTAGTCCTGGAGACAGAGTTAACATTTCAAGTTCCATGACTTCATTGGTACTGTATAGGGCTGGAAAATAGTGGTATTTATGTTGATGGCAAAGTGGGAACTGGATCAAAAAGAACAGTTGGTGAAGGTGCACAAAGCAAAAGACAAAGGGAGTGCTAATGGTAGTAAGGGAGTAATCTTTAGCTCATTGTGCCAGTCAGTTACCATTTTACATCTGGAATGGGCAAGTAGCTGACCAGCACTATTCAAATTAGATCCAGGCCTTCAACAAAGAAACCTGCATCAGATTGCCATACATTCCAACTGATTTCCTGTTGGAAGTTACAATCAACACTCTGTATCTTTACCATTGCAATGTTTCCATTTCTCAAAGCCCTACTCCTGGCATAGTGTTTGACAATATTAAGATGGACCTTTGGTGGACTTCTTCATTCAGTTAGAAATATCCTGTCATTTTCCTCAAATGTTATGCATACCTAAAAATAAACACAGATTCTTTATGTATTGAACATACTCTGAGTGCAATATGTACTCAGATTCCCGTACACTCAAAAAGTGATACTTTGTAAGTGATACCTTGTAAATGCTATTAATTTGCTAGTATCAAAAAAATCTGAATTGCAAAAAGACATTCATGCACATGTAATTTTCACCTGAATTTTATTCTCTCATCTTGTTAAGATTCCAGTGATAGCACTGATTTTTATTCATGATTTATACTAACAGAGGTATGGTAAAGTCACAAAACAGAACTTGGAACTGTGAAAATTAATCATTGATTGATAATGGGTATATAACTCAGGAGTTTAACAGATTGTTGATCTTTTGGAGATGTTTCAGTGAAAATCAATAGGAATGATTTCAGGATCTAAGACTTCCATTTATATAGAAAGACTTGATGAACTGAAATTGTTCTCATAGGAGAAAAGGTGTTAAGTAATTAGAATCAAGATTTTTAAAATGATGAGTGGCATAAACGATGGGTGTATTTGCTGCTTGTGAATTTTTTTTTAAAAAGACTTCCCCAGTAATTGTACAGGACTACATTTCTGACAGATGCAGCAACAAAGCACCCCAGATGCATTGTACTTGATACCTCTTACTACGAGTTCAGTTATCACATAGATCCCTACAGTGTAGAAACAGGCCCTTTGGCCCAACAAGTCCACATTGACCCTCAGAGCATCCCACCCAGGCCCATCCCCCTAATCTACACATCCCTGAACACTAAGGGCAATTTAGCATGGCCAATCCACCTAGCCTGCACATCTTTGGACTGTGGGAGGAAACCCATACAAACACAGGGAAAATGTGCAAACTCCACACAGACAGTCACCCAAGGGTAGAATTGAACCCAAGTCCCTAGTGCTGTGAGGCAGCAGTACTAACCACTGTGCCACCCCATGGTGCTCATTATCTCATAGCTACTCTTTGTTTTCTTTTGGCTGACAAGTCACAAATTTATATGTATGGGTGGAATCTTCCCAGCCCCAAAATGACATGGCCCCTGGTGAGGATGTCAGGAAAATCAGTGAGAATCATTTTGACATCAAGACCAGAAGTGCTATTTTACAACAAAATGTTAGACGGTCAGATAAAATCCTGCTTGTGAACAGCTAGAGGCATATTTCCATGGATTATCGCTCATTACTACCATCACTACTACCTAATCTTACCTCGTTAATATTCAGTTTCCCATTCTTCCACCCACCGAGTAGAAACATGTTGCCAAGAATTCCCAACATGAATGTCAGAGCAGTTATTTAGTGACTCCAGCCCACAACTTGCTCCACAGCAGTCACCAACGTCTCAGGGCACACTCCCTGGACAGCAGTGGCATGCACCCCACATCCACAAATATTGGTATCTTCACCAGGCAGCCTCATCACATCATCACGGCACATTTCCAGTCCACTTAGAGTATGCTTCTGCATTTCACTGCTGAACTTTGGAGCACACTGGGCCCTTTCATCAGAATGTTGCTGCAAGGAAACCCTGAATCCGGGGACAGAAACCAAGCTCATGATACGGCCCAGGGCTCAGGGTTCCCCATTCCCCTCTCTTAGTAGTCACTCTCTTTGTGCTACCTTGATGGTCACAGCATCCCTACTTTGCCCCCTCAGCCAGAGCCTTAAGGGCTCGGACCACTTCTGTCTTGCCTCCTTGTTTAGTGCAGACAAAAAAAAAGCTTGTCATGATTGTCAGCAGTGATCAGTCAAAGGGATCAACCAACGTGTCGCTGTTTGTTACATTGTTACATAAATCTCACAGCTGCACCATAGGCCAGCTATGTATGTGCCAAACAGTCTGCAAATGCATCCACTGAGTGGCCAGATCACAAAGTCTAAGGGAGCAGCCCTCAGTCAGGTCAAAGGAGACACTCTTCAGACAGAGCCTCCCGGCCCAGTAAGTCAAGGGCAGAGTCTAATGTCGGTCCAGGGACTGGAGCACAGTCAGTTGACCAGTCAGGGTGGTCGGGGTTGGTGTCCATAACTCTCCAGTCTGGAAACTGGGTCATGGCCAGGTGGTGTCATAGGAAGGCAATCGGTCTGGGATCCAGTCATTCATTATTCGAGGCTGTCCCAATAAATCATTTAAGGGAATAGACCAAGGTCAGTAATTAATAACATTTTTCCCCAGATTATTAATTTTAGAAACTTCCCCGCCACCAAAGTTAAACTGGCTGGCCTGTAGTTGCTGGGCTTATTTTTTTCAAACAAGGTACAACATTTACAATTCTCCAGTCTAAAAATCCAGTGGGGACAAGCCACAGCACATGGACTGCAGTGGTTCAAGAGGCAGCTCACCACCGCCTTCTCAAGGGCAACTAGGGACGGACAATAAATGCTGACCACAGCAACGCCCACATCCCACAAATGAATAAAAAAACCTTTTCCAGCTACTCATTCATCTGCTTTATCCCATTTCTACACTTAACTTGAGTGTGCGACAAGGACTAACATGGAGATGACTACTTTTGAGGATATGCTTGCTAATTTCCTAGACAAACCTCTAAATGCTGACTGTAGGATCACATCCTTCCTGTGCCTACCTTGCTGGCACTAGTGTGAAGCATGACTGCTAGTTATTCATCCATCCCATCGGACTGGTACGTAACCATTCTGTGACATCCTTGACAATGGCACCAAGGAGGCAACACATCATCCTGGATTCACATCTGTGACCACGGAAAAACTTGTCTATTCCCCTAAATGTAAATTGTTCTCTCACTGTTGTTCTTCCAGTTTTTTGTGTGCTTTATTTATCTAAACCACAAATGGCAATATGTTCTTCGCTCACACTGCAGCCCCAAACAAGCCATCACTCTCGTTGGTGTTCAGAACTGAATGTTGGTTGGAGAGTAAGATTCTCTCAGGGGATTCCTGCACTATGTGCCATTTTACAAAATGTACAAATTTGGAGCAGAAGAAGGCCACTTTACCTCTCGAGCTTGCTCCACCACTTAATAGATAATCTTTTTGAGTTTTGAATTCTGCGTTCCCAATATCCTCAATAACCTTGACTCCCTTACCTAACAAGAATCCGCCTTAAAAATATTCAATGACCCTGTTTCCATTGCCTTCTGAGGCAAAGTTCCAAAGTCACACTATGTTATCAGAGAAAAACATCTTCTCACCTGTTGTTTTTCCCGCTGCAGTGCAGACCTCCGATGTCCATACGCAGCAGTGGCTTCCAGAACCAGAAGTTAATGCATTGGCACATATGAAACCTCTGAGATGGTCCTGAGAGGTCCACACACAGCTTAGAGGAAATGGTGACCCCCAGGGATCGGTGTTCACACCTTTGCTCTTTTTGATACGTATTAATTGCCTGGAAACATAAGGCAACATTCAAAGTTTCAAACTGACAACAAAACTTGAAAAGGTGTAAGCAATTCAGAGGATGGAAACAGACTTCAGGAGGATATAGACTAGTGAAGTTCTGATGAAGAGTCACCAGACTCGAAACGTTAACTCTGCTTTCTTCCCACTGATGCTGCCAAATGTGCTGAGCTTCTCCAGCAATTTCCATTTTTGTTATAGACTGGAGAAATAGGCAGACCCATGGTAGATTAAATTTAATGTAGAGAAGTGTGAAGCATTTATTTTAGCAAAAAGTATGAAGAGAGGCAAAATAAGTAAACATTGCAAGTATAGA